CTCATTCCGGAGTGGGAGATCCAGCTCCAATTTCCTTGTCCTGCACTCAGCTGTAGCTCCCAAGATCCTGCAGCACCAGAGCTGCTCCTGCCTTTTTTGGGGATTTGAGGAAGGGAGGTTTGTTATTAATTTGTGTAAAAGAGTTTTATTGCTAATTTTGGGAAGGGAAGCTTATTCCTAATTTTTGGGAAGGGAGGTTTATTCCTAATTTTGGGAAGGGAGGTTTATTCCTAAATTTGGGAAGGGAGGTTTATTAATGATTTTGAGAAGGGAGAGTTATTCCTAATTTTGGGAAGGGAGGGTTATTCCTAATTTTGGGAAGGGAGGTTTATTCCTAAATTTGGGAAGGGAGGTTTATTCCTAATTTTGGGAAGGGAGGTTTATTAATGATTTTGAGAAGGGAGAGTTATTCCTAATTTTGGGAGGGGAGGGTTATTCTTGCTCAGGGCTGGTGGCAGCTCTGCATCTTGGGGTGCTTTCCATCCTTGAAAATGGTGGAGCAATCCCACCAGGAATTCCAGGTTAATTGTGGAGATTTCGGTGTTATTCCAGGGCCAGCTGAGATCAGGGATTTACAGATTCCCGTTGTTCAATGATCTTATTTAACCCTGACAAGAAACTTGGTTATAAAGTCACATTTTCTGCTGGTTTTGTCGGTGACAGCAGAAAATGCTGATGCTGTGGAATTTGTGGAGTCTGGGAAAGTGGGGCTGGAAAAGCAGGGAATTGTTGGATGTGGGATTTCCTGGCTGTTCCTGGTGGATTTATTGTGCCCCTTCTCGTGGCTTTGGAGAAAGGAAGAAGTTTGGTTTGGGGAAAAAAGAGAAGGAAAAGACCAAAGAGATTTTTTCCTTCCCTTCAGAATTTCTTGGAACTCCCTGAACTTTTTTCCCTGCAGTGCCTCCTCTGAACTCCTTGGATTGGGATTTATGGAAAAATATTGAGTTGAGGTGTGTGCTCTGCTCGGTTCTGTGGGAATTGGAGTTTGCTGGAGCAGACTGGGATAATGGGTGATCCAGCTGGGATAATGGGTGATCCAGGCTGGGATAATGGGTGATCCACTTGGGATAATGGGTGATCCAGTTGGGATAATGGGTGATCTAGATTGGGATAATGGGTGATCTAGTTGGGATAATGGGTGATCTAGATTGGGATAATGGGTGATCCAGTTGGGATAATGGGTGATCCAGATTAGGATAATGGGTGATCCAGTTGGGATAATGGGTGATCCAGGTTGGGATAATGGGTGATCCAGTTGGGATAATGGGTGATCCAGGTTGGGATAATGGGTGATCCAGATTAGGATAATGGGTGATCCAGTTGGGATAATGGGTGATCCAGTTGGGATAATGGGTGATCCAGATTAGGATAATGGGTGATCCAGTTGGGATAATGGGTGATCCAGATTAGGATACTGGGTGATCCAGCCCAGTTATTGCTTGAATTAATACTCACATTTTATGGCAACAGCCACAAAACTTGGTTGTTTTATTAATTAAATCCACGAGCCTCCTTAATTAAATCCTCTTGGAGCCCATCCTGGGCGATGCAAAAGTGGTTTCAAGCCCCAGTTTTGAGGTTCTGCACCTTTATCTCCCCCTTTCAGGTGTTATTTTAACACCAAACTGTAACAAAAGGCAGAGAAAAGTTTATGTGACTTTCCTGTCAGACTTTGTTCAGCTCTAAGAACGAGAAACTGCTGAAAAATCACAAATAAAAATAGTTTATCGAGGTTATTAGCAGCTAATTTGGGCTGAAACGTTTCTGTTTGTCGTGCCCATCGAGTTCTTTTTTTCTCTTTTCCCCTGCCTGAAAGTTATTTACATAATATATTGTTTCTGGGGTTTGTTCTGGGATTTTCAAACCAAAAAAAAAAAGCTCGGTTCATGCCTCAAAGTTTCTTTCTGTGGCAATTCCCAGCTGGCTCAGCCTCTGGAATTGAAGAGTTGCTTCCCTGGGAAGGGACTGTGGCATTCCCAAGGGAAGGAGAGATGTTTAGGAAAGACAAGTGCATTTTGCTGCAGAAATTTAATCTTGATTAAAGTCGTCGAAATGAATGAAATGATAAAATAAATGAATAAAATCAACGACTCAGATTCTTGAATACGTGGTTAAAATTAATTAGCAGCATCCTGATGCCTTTTGTGCTGTACCTGATATGAATAAATATATAAATAGATATTAAAAAAATGACAAAATATAACAAGTTTCCCATTCACTAATTACAAATATTTCCTTCCTGAATGGAGGAAGTTTTTCCCATCCTGTATCTGGACACAGCTCAATTTTAGGCTTGTTTTCCCACATGGAAAAAGACAAACTAATTATTAAATCAATGTTAACTCTTTTCTGAGTTGGGAAAGGGCGAATCCAGCGTGGCCTTTGCAGGCTCCAAAGGGTTGGTTTGTTCCAGGAGCCACTGAAGGGACAAAATTGAGGCTGAATGAGCATTTTTCCCACTTTTGGGAGTGTAAGAAACAAATACTCTGGGATTTCTTCATGTGTTTGGTGCTTCAGCCACCCCTTTCCATCCCTGGGAGTACCCAGCCAGGAAAAAGGGCTTGTTATCCAAAATATGGGATCTGTAACATCTCCCAGGGCCTGAAGGGGCTCCAGGAGAGCTGGAGAGGGATTTGGGATAAGGGATGGAGGGACAGGACACAGGGAATGGCTTCCCACTGGATAAAGGGAGATCTGGGTGGGATATTAGGAAGGAATTGCTGGCTGGGAGGGTGGGGAGGCCCTGGAATAGAATTCCCAGAGAAGCTGTGGCTGCCCCTGGATCCCTGGAAGTGTCCAAGGCCAGGTTGGAGCAACCTGGCCTGGTGGAAGGTGCCCCTGCCCATGGCAGGGGGTGGAATGGGTCGCTCTTTAATGTCCTTTCTACCACAAACCATTCTGGAATTCTGTGAGATGGATCCTTTGCTCAAATGTTCCACAGGTTAATTATTTTAAGGTGGGAAAATGCTCCTTCAGCATGACCTTTGCAGGCTCCAAAGGGCTGGTGCCTTCGAGGAGCCACGGAAGTGACCAAATGGAGTGACACCAACCACCGAGGTTCAAGCAGGCCAAGGGCCGGGTCCTGCCCTTTGGCCACAACAACCCCCGGCAGCTCCAGGCTGGGCCAGAGGGGCTGGAGAGCAGCCAGGCAGGAAGGGAGCTGGGAGTGGGGATGGCCAGGGAGCTGAACAGGAGCCCCAGTGTGCCCAGGGGGACAAGAGGGCCAATGGAGCCTGGCCTGGCTCAGGAACAGGGTGGCCAACAGGTCCAGGGAAGTGATTCTGCCCCTGGACTCAGCGCTGGGGAGGCCACCCCTGGAGTGCTGTGTCCAGCTCTGGGCCCTCAGCTCAGGAAGGACATGGAGGGGCTGGAGCAGGGCCAGGGAAGAGCAACGAGGCTGGGGAAGGGACTGGAGCACAAGTGCTGGGAGGAGAGGCTGAGGGAGCTGGGGGGGCTCATCCTGGAGAAGAGGAGGCTCAGGGGAGACCTCCTCACTCTCTGCAACTCCCTGCCAGGAGGGGGGAGCCGGGGGGGGTTGGTCTCTTTTCCCAGGCAACTCTCAGCAAGACAAGAGGGCTGGGTCTGCAGCTGGGCCAGGGGAGGGGGAGGTTGGAGATCAGGAAGAATTTCTTTGCAGAGAGGGTGCTGAGCCATTGGAATGGGCTGCCCAGGGAAGGGGGGGATTCTCCGTCCCTGGAGGTGTTTAAGGACAGACTGGATGTGGCATCAGTGCCATGGGCTGGGAACCACGGCGGGGTTGGATCAAGGATTGGACTGGATGATCTCGGAGGTCCCTTCCAACCCAGCTGATTCTGGGATTCTGTGATTCCATGGGATGGGACAGCTGTTCCCAGCCCGGGGATGGATGGATGGAGCCCTCCAGGGCTGCCTCAGGGAAGGAGCAGGAGGTACAAACCAGGGCAGGCTGCAGCCTCAGGCATGTTTTTCCCTCCTTTCCCTGTCACCAGCTGGCACCAGGCTGTGTTTGCTCCCAGATGGATCGGAGGTGACACCTCTGGTCATGTCAGTGCTGTTGGGATGATATCTCTATTTTCTCCTCTCTCTCAGTGCTCTGGTAGGACAAGGGGGGGTGGAAGGGCTTGTAAACACCTCAAGAGATGGATCACAGACACGAAAGGCTCATGAATTATTTGGGTTGCTCCTCACTTGTCAGCAGCTCAGCCTAATTTAGGTGCTGTGCTTCCTATTTTTCATCTTGGAAGTGACAAGTGCTCCAGCTCCGTGTGCTGTGGGATGGGATTTCATGGAGGGTTTGGTTCCTGCAAAAAATTAACCGTGTGTTCAATGGTGTGTTGGAAGCTTCAGTGGCTTCCCAAACATCTCAGAATCCCAGGATGGGTTGGGTTGGAAGGGACTTGAAAGCCCACCCAGTGCCACCCCCTGTCACGGGCAGGGACACCTTCCACTAGCCCAGGTGGCTCCAACCTGGCCTTGGACACTTCCAGGGATCCAGGGGCAGCCACAGCTTCTCTGGGAATTCTATTCCAAGGCCTCCCCACCCTCCTAGCCAGGAATTCCTCCCCAATATCCCACCCAGATCTCCCTTTTTCCAACATGAAGCTATTCCCTGTGTCCTGTCCCTCCATCCCTTGCCCAAAGTCCCTCCTGACCTTCCTTGGCTTGAAGCCAGGTGTGGTGGGTCATCAGCCACAAAAACAGGAAAACACCTGGAAAAAAAAATCACGGAGAAGCTTCAGCACCCGTGGAATGAAGCACATGGAATGAAGGCACCTTCAAATAAAGGCGCTGGGAAATGGAGCGAGTTTTAAAGCGAACAAATTTTCTTTCTGGGTCAGAAACCCCCAGGGCCTCCCCACCCTCACAGTAAAACAATTATTCCTTTTATCAACTTGAATTGACCCCTTTTTAGTTAAAACCCCTCACTTATGGCTCCACACCCTTTTAAAATCACAGGTAGGCATTGAGTGAAGCCAAATTTGTATTTTATTACACTGAAGTGCTTCTCTTTTGCGTTGCAGCCTTAAAAAAGGGACGCTTTTGGATCACCCCCGACCCCTACCACAAGGATGACAACATCCAGATCGGGCGGGAGGTGAAGATCTCGTGCCAGGTGGAGGCCATCCCGCCCGAGGAGCTGACCTTCAGCTGGTTCAAGAACGGGCGGCCCCTGCGGAGCTCGGAGAGGATGGTGATCACCCAGACCGACCCCGACGTGTCCCCCGGCACCACCAACCTGGACATCATCGACCTCAAGTTCACCGACTTCGGCACCTACACGTGCGTGGCCTCGCTCAAGGGAGGGGGAATCTCCGACATCAGCATCGACGTCAACATCTCCAGCAGCACCGGTGAGCAGGGGCTGGGGGGGTCCTGGGGGGGAGTTTTGGGGGGATGGAGCCAAGGATGGCTTTGCTTCCTAGAGGGTATCCGCGCCCCTGTGGATCGGCATCCGCACAATTCGGGATGTACGCGTTCGCTTTTTTCTACTTCTTGAGCGCGGGGGATTTGATTGATACACGCCCCCGCCACGGCACACTCTGTCGGGGTACGAGCCCGGATGGAGCCACGGGATGGCTTTGCTCTCCTGGGATGGAGCCACAGGATGGCTTTGCTCTCCTGGGATGGAGCCACGGGATGGCTTTGCTCTCCTGCTCCTGCGTGGAAGTTATGGGGAGATGGAGCCACGAGAAGTTTTGGGGGGATGGAACCATGGGAAGTTTTGGGGGGATGGAGCCAGGGGATGGCTTTGCTCTCCTGCTCCTGAATGGAAGTTTTGGAGGGATGGAAGTTTTGGGGGGATGGAGCCACGGGATGGCTTTGCTCTCCCCCTCCTGGGGGGAAGTTTTGGAGGGATGGAGCCAAGGATGGCTTTGCTCTCCCGGGATGGAGCCACGGGATGGCTTTGCTCTCCTGCTCATGGGTGGAAGGTTTTTGGGGAGATGGAGCCACAGGATGGCTTTGCTCTCCCGCTCCTGGATGGAAGTTTTGGAGGGATGGAGCCACAGGATGGCTTTGCTCTCCTGCTCCTGAATGGAAGTTTTGGGGGGATGGAAGTTTTGGAGGGATGGAGCCACAGGATGGCTTTGCTCTCCTGAGATGGAGTCACAGGATGGCTTTGCACTCCTGCTCCTGGAGGCTGGAAGTTTTGGAGGGATGGAGTCATGGGATGACTTTGTTCTCCCTCTGGGGTGGAAGTTTTGGAGGGCTGGAGTCACCGGATGGCTTTGCTATCCCACTCCTGGATGGAAGTTTTGGGGGAGGAAGTTTTGGGGAGACTGATTATTTGGGGGATGAAGTTTTGGAGGGCTGGCGCCACAGGCTGGCTTTTGCTCTCCTGAGATGGAGTCACGGATGCTTGGAATCATGCCTATTGGAGGCTGGAAGGTTTGGAGGGATGGACGCTTCATGTGATGATGACTTTGCTATCAACCTCTGGGTGGAAGTTTTGGAGGGATGGAGTCACCGGATGGCTTTGCTCTCCCACTCCTGGATGGAAGTTTTGGGGGGATGGAAGTTTGGGGAGATGGAGTTTTGTGGGGGATGGAGCCACGGGATGGCTTTGCTCTCCCACCTCTGGATGGAAGTTCTGGAGGCGCAGGCAGCAAGGACGGTTTCCTCTCTGATCATGGTGGAAGTTTTGGGGGGATGGAGCCACGGGATGGCTTTGCTCTCCCACCTCTGGATGGAAGTTCTGGAGGGATGGAGCCAAGGATGGCTTTTCTCTCCTGCTCCTGGGTGGAAGTTTTGGGGGGATGGAGTCACAGGATGGCTCTGCTCTCCTGCTCCTGGGTGGAAGTTTTGAGTTGTGGGGGATGGAGTCACAGGATGTCTTTGCTCTCCTGCTCCTGGACGGAAGTTTTGGAGGGATGGAAGTTCTGGGGGGATGGAGTCACAGGATGGCTTTGCTCTCCCACCTGGAAAAAGCACTTCTCGCCACAAGCAGAGCTGGTTGGACGGGGCTCGGAGCTACCTGGGCTGGTGGGAGGTGTCCCTGCCCATGGCAGGGGGTGGAGGGACGTGGGATTTAAGGTCCCTCCAATCCAAACCAGGCTGGGATTTCATGACCTTTGATCAGGGCCTGAATTGCTTTGATTAGACAGCAGGAATCTCAGGGAGTGACCTGTTGGATCGTTTTTGGCCGTGGAGATGCTCCAAGAGCTGGAGCTGTTCTCTTACAAAGACAGGCCAGGAGAGCTGGGGGGGGTTCCCCTGGAGAAGGGAAGGCTCCAGGGAGAGCTGAGAACCCCTGGCAGGGCCTAAAGGGGCTCCAGGAGAGCTGGAGAGGGACTGGGGACAAGGCCTGGAGGGACAGGACACAGGGAATGGCTTCTGTGGTGAATGGATAGATGGGATATTGGGAAAGAATTCCTGGCTGGGAGGGTGGGAAGGGGCGGGGATGGAATTCCCAGAGAAGCGGTGTCTGCACCGGGATCCCTGGAAGTGTCCAAGGCATGTTTTGGAGGAGGTGGAGAACATGGCTGGGAGGTGTTGGTTCCCCCTGCCGCAGGACAGGTGGTGCGCACTGGCGGAGCTTACGGTCTTCCAACCAAACAATCTCTGGGACTTCTATGATATTACTATAAATTAAAGAAACAGGAGGATTCTATTGGGGAAGAGCCCCAAGTTGGGAATATGTAAACGGAATTGACACTGCGCCCCACAGGCACCAAGATTATCTTGACTTTCCTGAGAATCATTGGAAAAACCAACGGGATTCCCTGGGAACATCCTTTTTGTTGGCCATTCCTTAGCTGGCCTTTCCCATGAGCTCATCTCAATTCCTTCAGTCAGTGGTGAATTCCATCAGCTCTGACATTCCCTGTCCTGCAAGAAGAGCCTGAGGAAAAGGGGGAAGCAAACCTGGAGTTTGGGCTCAGCCTTTTTTAGTGTGTTCAGCTCTGCCAGGGGGGTGATTTCATCCCCTGGAGAAGTGGGAGCTGAAACAGTTGCAGTGCTTTGAAGGTCATTAGTGATTCATCAAGACTCATTACTGCCTGGTAATTAGCAACATAAGGCCCAGGCACAAACACGTTTCCCAAATGCCAGGGCTTGCAGGGATTTATTAATATCCCTCCCTGTGTCTCTTGTGCTGCTTCGGAGAGGGGGGGAGGGAATTTTCTCTTCCTGTCGTGTCTGAGGCTCCTCCTGGAGCCTCCAAAGGAGGCAGGAGGGGTTTGTGGCACCTTTAGGCCTCCCCAGAAGGTTGGGAAGGGATGTGTGGCAGTGCCTCTTGACACACTTGGCACTGCACTCCTTCAGCAGGAATATTTTCTCCCTGGACATTTTGTACTTTGCAGAGATTTATGGCCTGAGTATCTTATATAAATGGACCTGAAGTAATCCCCTCCCAGCTCCCCCCAAACATATCTCGGCAAAGTAGGTCACTGAATAGTGAAAATGAAGACTCAAATGTCGAATGTTTGCCCTGGGAAAGCCTCGTCATCCATAAAAACCAACCCTGGGCAAAAACCAACCCACCAGGGTGGCTCTGTGGGACCAGGTCACGGGGAACCTGAAGGCAGAAGCTGTGAAAAAAAGCAGCAAGATGTTAAAAAAGCAAGAAAACCCTCCCCTCAGTAAAGTGGGTTCAGGGTAAGCAAAAAAAAAAAAAAAAGAGCATGGATCCGGAAAAAGTGTCATTCTGTTGAGGTGATTTTTTTGTTTTCCTTTGCCTTGAATCTTATATTTGAAGCAGGAAGAACAAAGCTTTGGGGTTGGGTTGCTCTGCTCTGTCCTGGACAGGTTCTTACCCCACCTTTATCCCTGAAAAGCAGCATCCGCCCAGGGAGCGCAGGAACATCTGTCTCCCCCTGCGGAACGAGTTGTGGGCTAGTGTGGTCAGGCTCCCATTATTATTATTATTATTATTATTCTATTCTTTTATTATTATATTAAATACTTAATTCTTCATTATCCTTACATTTATTTCCAGTTATATTACTATATAATAGATATATAAATAATCTACAATTAGGATTACATACATATTTATTATATGAAGCATAATCATAATATTAATACAAGAAGCCCTTACAGACCATTTCATTGTCCTGGGCAGGGACACATTCCACTAAACCAGGTTGCTCCAACCTGGCCTTGAACACTTCCAGGGATAGATTTGACTTTCCTGCTTGAGCCAGGCAGAGAAATCCATGAGGAATTAGTACATCTGAGGCTGTGCAGTCTGACTGGGCTTTCCCTGTTCAGCTAATCAGCTCTGTGTTAACTAATGAATTAATTAAACACCCGGGCTGACGTGGGGGGGACCCACGGCCTGGATCCGTCTGTCCTCTGGTCATCTCCTTCCTGCTTTGATGCTCCAGGAAAGAGACCTTCACTTGGGCTCCAGATGTTTGTTGGAATCACAGCTGCATAACGAAAAAGTGCTTTTTGTGAGGTAATTAGTGCTCCAATTAAGATATTTGTAAAACCTGAAGCGCCGTCCAGAGCGATCTCACGGGTAGCCCCGAGACACCCAAAATCACACAGTTATCATGGCAAACTGATGATTTTTGGGAGCCATTATATCCTTGGAGTTTATCTTTGAAAGGAGTGGGTGAACAGCAGGGACAGATCGAGGCCGGATTTGGTTAAAAAAGCTTTTTTCTCTTATAGTTCGATTTTTGTACTTAATGTGCGGAGATTTTCCTTGTTAATTCCGTCCCTTCCCGTCACACGGGGCCAGGAGGGGCCATCCCCTGCTCTGCAGCCCCTTCCCACGGAAATCTGCTTTTGTTTCTGGGATGTGTTCATCCCCAGTGGATTGATTCCAGCAGGGTTTCTGGGAGCAGACACCCTCCGTGTCTTTATCCTTCTCCGGAGGGCTGTGGAGTTGGCTCCTCATCTCCTGGTGCATGTGGAGCGTGGAGCTCCTCAGCACAGCTCCTGCCACAGCTCTGCAAGATAATTTGGCTGATTTGCAACTGCCTGTGGATGTTCTGGGTTTAAAATGTTCCTCTTCAGCCCAACTGCAGAGCGAGGCGGTGTTTCAGGGTATTAGAGGTGATATATATATATATTTGCACAATATTTATATTAGATATAATTTATATAGACAGATAGAGATAAATAGATATGGACACAGATATATTAGAAGAGTTCTGAGCCCTGATTCTGGAATTATTTTACTGCCTAAGCACATCTCTTGCCCAAGCCCCCAGCATCATTTAAGGGAATGAGCTCAGGTCGCCCCAGGGGAGGTTTAGGTTGGATATGAGGGAAAATTCCTTCATAAGAAGGGTTATAAACCACTGGCACAGGTTTCCCAGGGCAGTGGTGGAGTCACCATCCCTGGAAGTGCTGCAAAAACGTGTGGATGTGGCACTTGAGGACATGGTTTGGTGGTGCTGGGTTGATGGTTGGGGTTTGACCATCTTGGAGGTCTTTTCCAACCTCAGCAGTTCTGTGGTTCTGTGAAGTCTGTGCTTGATGTTGTGTCTTCACCTGCAATCAGAAGTGGTTTTGTGCCCCAGAGAGTTGGATGAAATCAGCAGCCAGTCTGGTACCAAATAAAGGGTTTCAGTGCCAAATCCTCATAAAAAAGAAAGCCCTAAGTTGCAGTGCTGCAGTGCTGGTTGGGACTGATGGTGTGTGCTGGGACAGAGACAGGCAGGGAGGTCACTGAGTGTCACCCAGGGCTGGGAAATCCCAGCTGAGCCACTCCAAGCAGCTGAGAACCTCATCCCATAAATCCAGCAACATTCCACAGCCTTCCCATATATCAGCAATCCCTGCCCTTTGCTGTCTGGGTATAAATTGCTCCTCAATGAGCCTGAGAGAGCTCAGGGAGTGTTTGGATGATCCTCTCCAGCTCATGGGGTGGCTCCTGAGGACAATCCTGGGCAGGACTAAGGGTTGGACCCTTGGGGGTCCCTTCCAGCTGAGGGGAGACCTTGTCACCCTCTCCCACCCCCTGACAGGAGGGGGGAGCTGGGGGGGGGGTCGGGCTCTGCTCCCGGGGAACAAGGGACAGGAGGAGAGGGAACAGCCTCCAGCTGTGCCAGGGGAGGCTCAGGTGGGACATCAGGAAGAAGTGGTCAACCCTTGGAATGGGCTGCTCAGGGAGGGGGTGGAGCACCATCCCTGGAGGTGTTTAAGGACAGACTGGATGTGGCATCAGTGCCATGGGCTGGGTGACAAGGTCAGCTTGGGTCCTGGGTTGGACTGGATGATCTGAACAGGAGCCCCAGTGTGCCCAGGGGGACAAGAGGGCCAATGGAGCCTGGCCTGGCTCAGGAACAGGGTGGCCAACAGGGCCAGGGAAGGGATTCCTGCCCTGGACTCAGCGCTGGGGAGGCCACCCCTGGAGTGCTGTGTCCAGTTCTGGGCCCTCAGCTCGGGAAGGCCCTGGAGGGGCTGGAGCAGGGCCAGAGGAGAGCAACGAGGCTGGGGAAGGGACTGGAGCACAAGTGCTGGGAGGAGAGGCTGAGGGAGCTGGGGGGGCTCAGCCTGGAGAAGAGGAGGCTCAGGGGAGACCTCCTCACTCTCTGCAACTCCCTGCCAGGAGGGGGGAGCCGGGGGGGATTGGTCTCTTTTCCCAGGCAACTCTCAGCAAGACAAGAGGGCTGGGTCTGCAGCTGGGCCAGGGGAGGGGGAGGTTGGAGATCAGGAAGAATTTCTTTGCAGAGAGGGTGCTGAGCCCTTGGAATGGGCTGCCCAGGGAAGGGGGGGATTCTCCGTCCCTGGAGGTGTTTAAGGACAGACTGGATGTGGCATCAGTGCCATGGGCTGGGAACCACGGCGGGGTTGGATCAAGGGTTGGACTGGATGATCTCGGAGGTCCCTTCCAACCCGGCTGATTCTGGGATTCTATGATTCTATAATTCTATGATCTCAGAGGTCTTTTCCAGCCTGGCTGATTCTGGGATTCCAGGATTGTGCTGCCAAGCCAAGGCAGGGATCCCTCTGCTGTGCCCACAGTGCTGACTGTCTCCCCCTCTCTCTGTCCCCCGCAGTGCCACCCAACCTGACCGTCCCCCAGGAGAAGTCCCCGCTGGTGACACGGGAGGGGGACACCATCGAGCTGCAGTGCCAGGTGACGGGCAAGCCCAAGCCCATCATCCTGTGGTCCCGGGCCGACAAGGAGGTGGCGATGCCGGACGGGGCGATGCAGACCGAGAGCTACGACGGGATCCTGAGGATCGTCAACGTGTCCCGGGAGATGACGGGGACATACCGGTGCCAGACCAGCCAGTACAACGGGTTCAACGTGAAACCCAGAGAGGCTTTGGTGCAGCTCATTGTACAGTGTGAGTACATATTTCCTTTCCTTTCCCAAACTTTCCCTTCCAAAACCTTCCCAAACCTTCCCTTCCCAAACCTTCCCCAAACCTCCCTTCCCTTCCCAAACCTTTCCAAACCTTCCCTTCCCCAACCTTCCCCAACCTTCCCAAAACTTCCTTTTTTCTTTTTTCTTTTCTTCCCTTCCCAAACCTTCCCCTCCTTCCTTTCACTTTCCCTTTTTCTCCCCTTCCCTTTCCCTTTCCCTTCCTATTTCCCTTTCCCTTTCCTTTCTTTCCAAGTGGTTCTGCTGATTTATTGATTTATTCCTCCCCCAAACAAGCAGCAGCCAGAGTCCTACAGCTGATACACATTTGATGCTGTGCTCTTTGGCTCTGTAGTTCTCCGAATCCATGATTTTAATGTAAATCCAGAAGTAAAAATGACATAGGAGCCTCATTTATATCGGAAAAAAAACCCAAAACCAAAACCCAAGAAGTGTGAGGGAATCATTATTTTCCCCATGCCTTGCTTTGAATTCCTTGACACGGGAACAGGCGGATGATTTGGGAGAGGACAGATCCCTCTAAACGCAGATCTGACACCGAGCTCGTTTGTTGGTGCCGTGTAAAACAAGCAGGGAAAAATGAGGGCAGGAGCTGTTCCCTGGGAGCTGGATCTTCATCCAGAGCTGCAGAGCTGAATCCCTGAAACTGGGCCCGAAAGACTGCTCAGAGACATTTATTTCTCTTTAAGCAGCAAGGTATTTGTTCATTCAACGTTGGGAGTGAGCCAGCTCGCGCTGGACAAGCTTGCTCCACTTGCAAGTGCAAAACTAAGCCATTTTATATACTTTAGATCCAGGGTTACATCATTTATTAGACATATTAATAAGCAGGCTGGTCTCTGGGTGGAGTCTTTCCAGACATGCCCAGTCTTCTACTCTGGGGGTCTTCTCCTCAAGCCTTCATCCCTCTGGTGGTCACCATGGACGTTCTTCCTCAATTTGACCTCTTCAATCAGGTGACCTGAATTCTTCCAGCTTGCAAAATCCTGGCTCTGGGCCTTCTAGATCTTATTCAAACATCTAGAATTAGGTAAATCTAGTTTCCCTGATTTATTCCTGTGTGTGTACTACTCCTGTTCTTTCTATACTAAGGCCTTTGGTGCAGTGAGCAGAAGAGAACATGATATGAACCAGTGCTCCTAAAATGTTCTTCCAGCAACACAGGTATTGGGGTTTCTTAGCAGGCCAAGAGATCTCAGTCAACTCTTTTAGGCCTGGCTGCTGTTTCAGAGCTGCCTCTGGAACCAGCAGCGCTGGGAACGGGCAGGGAGCCGGGAGGGGAAAGCCATTATTTCGGAAGCGCTGTGCTGTTCCTTATCGGGAAAGAACGAGCCCGGTTTGATGTGGTTTATGGGGAATAACGAGCCTTGCTTTGTGTTTGTGTATCTGATCAGTCACTAAATGACTTTCACGTGTCTGTTGTCAGTCCTTAGAAAGGAGAAGCCTGGTTTGATGTGGTTAATGGGCAATAACGAGCCTCCCTTTGTGTTTGTGTATCTGATCAGTGGCTAAATGACTTTCACGTGCCTGTTGTCGGTGCTTATCTTCACTTTTCCCAAAGCAACCCTCGTTTATCCCACTTTGAGCTGCCCAAATCTTCTGTCGGATCTGCTCTTCACCAGCGCTCCGTGCTGGGCACAACTGACCTCTTTTGGGGCCTCTGGGGAGGAGCTGCTGCAAACACACATCCTCCTTGCTGATAATCAGCGGATTTGCTTTGCCGGGCTCTGCTGTGTAACAAATTATTTATGCCCTCGATTGCACGTGGTGGGATCTGCAGAACTTCCATCAGGGAGGTTTTGCTGCTGCTCCAGCACGGCTTTTTTTAGCCCAAAATCGAGGGTGCAGGAAGGTTGGAGACGTCTCACCTGGGCTGCTCCTGGGGGTGGGTTTGTCTGCCTTTGGGCTGCAGAACATGGGGCTCTTCTCCAGGCAACTCTCAGCAAGACAAGAGGGCTGGGTCTGCAGCTGGGCCAGGGGAGGGGGAGGTTGGAGATCAGGAAGAATTTCTTTGCAGAGAGGGTGCTGAGCCCTTGGAATGGGCTGCCCAGGGAAGGGGGGGATTCTCCGTCCCTGGAGGTGTTTAAGGACAGACTGGATGTGGCATCAGTGCCATGGGCTGGGAACCACGGCGGGGTTGGATCAAGGGTTGGACTGGATGATCTCGGAGGTCCCTTCCAACCCAGCTGATTCTGGGATTCTGTGATTCTATGATTCTATGGCATGGTGGCTGTTGGGCACCATGGGTCTGTCAGGGTGGATCAGAAGGGATTCCAGAGGTGGGATTTGTTCCATCTCTCCCCTTCTGACCCTTGTGTCAGGGCAGCTTCCCACAGACACCTTGTTTGTCCATCTCAGGCTGGGGGTGGAGGTTGGCAGTGACTGGACATGAGCCCAGGTGGCCAAGAATGCCAAGGAGAGCTGGCTTGGATCAGGAATGGTGTGTCCAGTGGGATCAGGGCAGGGACTGTCCCTGTGCTGGCACTGCTGGGGCACCTCCAGCTCTGGGGGCACTTCTGGGATCTGAGACAAGAGAGACCCAGAGGGGCTGGAGCATGTGCAGGGAAGGGAAGGGAGCTGGGAAGGGGCTGGAGCAGCAGGAGGGGCTGAGGGAGCTGGGGGGGCTCAGCCTGGAGAAAAGGAGGCTCAGGGGGGACCTTCTGGCTCTGCAACCCCCTGACAGGAGGGGGGACCGGGGGGGGTCGGGCTCTGCTGCCAGGGAACAAGGGACAGGAGGAGAGGGAACGGCCTCCAGCTGTGCCAGGGGAGGCTCAGGTGGGACAGGAGGAGGAATTTCCTGCTGGAAAGGGTGGTCAGGCCTTGTCAGGAGCTGCCCAGGGAGGTTTGGAGTGCCCAGCCCTGGAGGTGTCCCAGGAAGGCCTGGCCGTGGCACTCAGTGCTCTGGGCTGGGGGACAAGGTGGGCATCGGGCACCGGGGGCACTGGATGATCCTGGAGGGCTTTTCCAACCTTAAAATTCCTATGATTTTATGACTCTGGGAATGGGAACTACCATAGAAACAGCAAAGTGCTGGTTCTTCTGAATAAGGAGGAGGCAAAGCAGCTGCTTACCCCTTTTCTGGCACTAATTTGGGGTGAAAACTAAAAACCACTTTGTTTTCTGGTCACTTGGGTCCTTTCTCTTTTAGTTTATATTCTCTTTTTCTCCACGTGCTTCCCCTTTTCCATCTGTCTGTTCCAAGTCCAGCATGGTGGTTAAAATGTCCTGCTTTGGGTGGGTTGTGGTGAGGTGTGAAGGATGGACAGGTGAAGGATGAAAGTGCCTTCAAATAATCCCCTTCAGGTACAAATACACATGTGGAGGTTTTCCCAGTAAATCAAGAGGTTTAGAGGGAGAGTTCTGGAGGTAAATCCACTCCAGTTACGAACAGCAAACCCAAAAATAACATCTGGGACAGGCAGCAGTTCCTTGCCTCTGTTCTTGGGAGCTTTATCAGCCCTGAGGAGACTTGTATGATGATGCTTTTTCAGATAAAAAAAGCAATTTTCAGCCTTTTTTATTCCTCCATCCTCCGGAGCACACACAGTTCAGGGGGGGATACTGGAAGAACAAGTGTTCAGGAGGACTCTTGACATGACTCCATAACAGCTGTGATGTGTCCCACATTTTGCCCTCGAAGACTTTATTTCCAGTCTTTCACAGTCTCAGAAACTCTTGTATTCATCCAGTGAGCCCTGAATTGTTTATCCTGGTCTCCATTTCTAGACTTTGAAGGAGATGCTGTTATTTTCTCCAGCAGGGAGACAATAATATCAGAGAATCCCAGGACAGGTCAAGCTGGAAGGGCCCACAGTGGCTCATCTGGTGCCACGAGGGTCATCCCAGAGCACAGGGATTGTGTCCAGAGGGCTCTGGAATATCCCCAGGGAGGAGACTCTCCCCTCTCTGGCCAATCTGCTCAGGGCTGGGTCACTGCCCAGCCAAGAAGTTCTTCCTCCTGTGCAGGTGGCACTTGCTGGGCATCAGTTCCTGCCCGTTCCTGCTGTGCCATTGCTGGGCCCCCCCGAGCAGAGCCTGGGCCATCCTCTGCCCCCTCCCTGCAGGCCCTGCCAGCCCTTGGGGAGGTCCCCTCTGGGTGTCCCCTCTGGAGGCTGAACAGCCCCAGTTCCCTCAGAGATGCTCCAGGCCCTTCATCACCTTCATCACCCTGCCCTGGACCTGCTCCAGGAGCTCCTTTGTGTCCTGAGGAGCCCAGAGCTGGACAAAGCACCCCAGATGTGCCTCCCAGGGCTGAGCAGAGGGGCAGGATCCCCTCCCTGACCTGCTGGGAATGTTCCTCCTCATGTCCCCCAGGACCCACCTCTGGCTCAGGGCCAGCTTGGTGTCACCTCCTGTCAGAGGAAGGGGAGTCGAGTCTGGGTTTTGGGGGAATGTTTCCCAGGATGTGGATTAGGACTTCCACCAACTTCCCACTTCCTCAGGACCCTGGTGGACCCAGTGGGATGCAGTGGGACCCAGTCTTAGTCTCTTTGCATCCTTGCACAGCTGAGCTTAGCAGTGGGGCCTAAATTAGTTGTGTGGGTTTAACATAAAATTGGACTCCAATTCACTTGGATTTTAGATGATTTTTTGCAGCTGAGAATGGGAAAAATCATGAGGAAATTTTTCCCAGGGTGTGGATTAGGATTTCCACCAACTTCCCACTTCCTCAGGACCTCAACCAGTTCCTGGTGTGGAATCACAGGATCCCAGTGGGATGACTCCTGCTGCCTTCCAGATCCTGCTGGATGCATCCCTTGGCTTGCTGTTATTTCCCAACCTTTTCCTGGTGGAAAACCACCAGGGTTTGTGCCTTTTTGTTCTGCCTCAGCTCCACCGGTTCCCTAATTCCGAGAGAGAGGAGACACAACTTGAAAATGGAGTAGGAGCTAAACAGGTACTTACAGGGGGTTATTCTTTCATCTGCTCATGTTTGGAATTCTGCTCACTTTGTTCAGCTCC